AGCAGTGTGCCCTTGTTGCCAAGAAGGCCAATGGCATTTTGGGATGTATAAGTAGGGGCATAGCGAGCAGATCGAGGGACGTGATCGTTCCCCTCTATTCGACATTGGTGAGGCCTCATCTGGAGTACTGTGTCCAGTTTTGGGCCCCACACTACAAGAAGGATGTGGATAAATTGGAGAGAGTCCAGCGAAGGGCAACAAAAATGATTAGGGGTCTAGAACACATGACTTATGAGGAGAGGCTGAGGGAGCTGGGATTGTTTAGCCTGCAGAAGAGAAGAATGAGGGGGGATTTGATAGCTGCTTTCAACTACCTGAAAGGGGGTTCCAAAGAGGATGGCTCTAGACTGTTCTCAATGGTAGCAGATGACAGAACGAGGAGTAATGGTCTCAAGTTGCAGTGGGGGAGGTTTAGACTGGATATTAGGAAAAACTTTTTCACTAAGAGGGTGGTGAAACACTGGAATGCGTTACCTAGGGAGGTGGTAGAATCTCCTTCCTTAGAGGTTTTTAAGGTCAGGCTTGACAAAGCCCTGGCTGGGATGATTTAACTGGGAATTGGTCCTGCTTTGAGCAGGGGGTTGGACTAGATGACCTTCAGGGGTCCCTTCCAACCCTGATATTCTATGATTCTATGATTCTATGAAGTTAAATATCCCTTCCAAAAGAGTAGAGAATAAATAAAGCTGATATTTGGCTCAACATTTCCTCTGTTAAACAGGTTCTAATATTCAAGGCCCATGAGTACATAATGGGTCTCTCATTTGTATACAGAGTCACTGCACTACAATACATAAGTTACTACTTTATAGAGCACTTTGGGAAACCTCCAGTATGACAGACACTATATAAAAATCAAATTCCATACTATATTTCTTATGCATATTTCTGCTACTATGTGGTTCATGATTGTTTTTTCAGAAGGAACAAATAATCAATACAAAACCATGAATAAAAATAACTTGTCTTTAAAAGTGAATGCTAAAAGAACATACAGCTTTTTACTCTGCCTAAAGAAAACTCATTGTTTATTGGGATGGCTGAAAGCTATGTTATTATTTTTAAAATGTTTAAACATAGAAGTCGAGCTGCTGCTGGAGACTGTTTGGTTTGCTCCTAGCTTGAAAACCAGAAGCAATACACAAGTATTTAAAATGTTTGCACACAAAAAATATTGTAAAAATTATTAATAAAACATACAAAATCAATAGAAATAACGGAAAAATAAAAATGTCTATCTCTTCCAAGAAACTTCACAACCATTTATTAACTCAGTCACTGTGAAAAACTTTCAGGCCCAATTCTCTGTTGCGTTTCACAATAAATTGTCATCAGTGGGTAGAATTTGGCTCTTAACCTCCAGAAGAGACTGATAATGTGACAAAAATATTATTAATGCTAACGAAACATAGGACCCCGGCTCTACTTATCATTTCATCAATCAGGCATCCCTGAAACACACTCCTCAAGAGAATGAAGTAGATACATAATGATAGGGTGACCAGATGTCCCGATTTTATAGAGACAGTCCTGATTTTCTGGGGCTTTGTCTTAGGTAGGTGCCTATTACCCCCCACCCCCATCCCAATTTTTCACACTTGCTGTCTGGTCACCCTACATAATGAAACAGATTCATAGATTCCAAGGCCAGAAGGAACCATTGTAATCATCCAGTCGACCTATATAACACAGAACTTCCCCAAAATAATTCCTAGAGCATATCTTTTAGAAAAGAGCCAATCTGGATTTAAAAGTTGCCAGTGATAGAGCATCCACCCTGACCCTTGGTAAATTGGTCCAATGGTTAACTAATTTATGCATTATTTCCAGTCTGAATTTGTCTAGCTCCAGCTTCCAGCCATTGGATCTTGTTATAACTTTCTCTGCTAGATTGAAGAGCCTGTTCCCCATATAGGTACGTATAGACTGTAATCAATCACCTCTTAACCACTTTGTTAAGCTAAAAATAGAGCTCCTTGAGTCCTATCATAAGGCATGTTTTCTAATCCTTTAGTCATTCTCATAGACTTTAAGGTCAGAAGGGATCTTCATGATCATCTAGTCTGGCTTCCTGCACATTGCAGACCCCAGAACCTCATCCACCCACTCCTAAAATAGACTCCTAACCTCTGACTGACTTACTGAGGTCCTCAAATCATGATTTAAAGACTTCAAATTACAGAGAATTCACCATTTACACTAGTTTAAACCTGCATGTGACCTGTGCCCCATTCTGCAGAGGAAGGCGAAAAACCCCCAGGGTCTCTGCCAATCTTGCCCAGGGGGAAATTGCTTCCCACCCCCAAGTATGGTGATCAATTAGACCCTGAGCGTGTGGGCAAGACCACCAGGCAGATACCTGGGAAAGAGTTCTCGTGGCTCTTCTCTGAACTCTGTCCAATTTATCAAAATCCTTCTTGAATTGTGGACACCAGAACTGGACACAGGATTCCAGCAGTAGTCACAGAAGTTCCAAATAACCTATCTACTCCTACTGGAGATTTCCCAGTTTATGCGTCCAAACATCATATTAGCCTTTCTGGCCTCAACATTCCACTGGGAGCTCATGGTTAGCTGATTATCCATCATGTCCCCCAAATCTTTTTCAGAGTAACTCTTCCCAGGACAGAGTCCATCACCCTGTAAATATGAACTATATTCTTTGCTCCTAGATGTATATGTTTACATTCACCATATTAAACACGTATTGTTTGCTTGTACCCTCCTTACCAAGCAATCCAGATCACTCTGCATGTTTTTGACCTATCCTCTTCATTATTGAACTCCCCCAATGTTTGTGTCATCTGCAAACTTTATCAATGATGACTTTGTTTTCTTTTAGGTCATTGATAAAAATGTTAAATAGCATAGGACCAGGAACCAATCTCTGTGTGACCCAACTAGAAATACACTTGTTCGATGATGCTTCCATTCATATAGTTGGAAGACCTATTGGTTAGCCAGTTTTTAATCCATTTACTTTGTGCTACATTCATTTTATATCATTCTAGTTTTTTAATCAAAATGTCATGTTACACCAACCAAGTCAAATGCCTTTGAAGGAAGTCTAAGTACATTATTTCAACACCTTTATCAGCCAAACTTGTAATTGCTTCAAAAAAAATACCACGTTAGTATGACAAATACTGTTGATGAGAATCATCAGCCTATAATGCAAGGATCTGCAGATCTAAGAGACACAATAAAGCTGAATCCTATTTGAACCCGTGCCGACAAATGGATATGACTAGGGTCAGGAGATCCAAGCTCCCCACCACCCCTCTGGGGTCTTTCTACGATGTTAGGCTAGTCTCTTAACTTCCCTGTGCTTTAGTCTCCTATCAATAAAATGATGATAATGATTCACCTTTTGCATCATGTCAAATTGTGTGTTATGCTGGAATGGATTTGGTCTCATTCATGTAGTTTTGATGTTACAAGTGCCAGTGCAACATTGTCTTGTTGCATCAGAAACTTCTTTGGTTGTCTCCGTCGGAACTATTGCCTTCTGTGAATCTCATCCTGCAAACCTTGCATACACAGAGTTCCCCCTGACACAGGATTTGTGTACAGAAGGAAGGAAGTTGTTACTGTTCAACCAAAAAGAGAATCTATGTTGCCCAATCAGTTTTACCCAATGCTATGATTTTCATGCCTTGGAAGTGCCACTTCTACAATGATCTTGTCAGCATAGGGAGTGAAAAACAAGAAAAAAATAAAATCTTGTTCTGTTTAATTGCAGGGCGAATTACTCCCAATGACTAGACCTTACCACTCAGTAGGAATAACAGTAGGAATAACATAAATATAATAAAACACATTTTATAGATTACAATATAATCATTAATATAAATGAGCTCTTCATTCTTGCAAACCTATGCATCTAGTATTTCAAAATAACAGATCACTTCTTTTTACCCCTCCTAAAAATTGTTAGAATTAAAAAGTCATTTTCTATAATACAAACCATGACACACTCTTGAGCATGGAGTATGTGAGAAATGCATTTCATAAATTTTGTAATGTTTTGCCTTAGAATCTCCACTCGTTAGTGCATATAGTTATCATATATACCTCCATGACGTATTGTGAAATAACATACAGTGACTCTACTAGTCAAAGATAGTCTTTGTGTCTGTTTATATTTTGTAATTCGTTATATATTAACCTGGAAGATCAATTTTTAGAGTGTAAAATATTGAAGAAACTTCCATCTTTATAATTGTAGCTATGTGCAATTATGAAATAAGTAACATAATCTTATATGTATTTTTCTTCTTAAATGCTTTTAAACAAATCTTGCACTTGAATAAAATCTGAATGCTTTTAATAATTATTAGCAATTTATTTCCTACAGAAAGAAAAGTTTTGCGGTCTCCTACTGTGGTACTTCTCTTCACTTTTCTTAACATTTGGTCATCTTCCTTATATGCAAAAAGAAAACAATGCTAACAAATGGATATTGGAAGTAGATTATAATATTGTCTTTCCCTAACATAGATAATATAGGGCCAAACTCCAAGGTACGTACTTGATTGTTACCCAACTCTGTATAACCCGTACAAACTTTGATTCACTTAACTCGTAGTTTGACTTAGTAAAACCTTGGAAAGGAGCTTGGGGTTTGGTCCATAATGCTTTGTGGCTGTAGCAGGCTTATAATAATAATTACAAAATAATAATTATTAATAATAAATAATAAAATAATTAATAAATAACAAAGATTCCCCGATGATTGCAAGCTCATTTATATCAAGAAATCAAACCTTTGAGCAGCTCTAAATTCTGACAACTTAGGCCATCTGGAAGACTAAACAAAATTACTTGCATGTACTGGAGACTTCCAGCTAGAGGACTCTCGGGATGAAATCTGGGCCCTATTGAAGTTAATGGGAGTTTCATCCACATTCTTTTGTCTTTATGCTGCAATCAGTTTTAATAAACCAAAAGAATTATATCTGAATATAAATAGAAATGTAATAAATAACAATGCAACCTACCTTCATTCAACCAAGGAATATTTTGCTTGTCATTTTGAAAGCTTTCCGTTGCTCTGATTTTTACCTTGTCTGTCTCGTCTTCTGACATCTATTTGGGAGAAAAGAATTTGGGGATGTCAAAAGTTCCTCTTTAAACCAAGGTTCCAAACAAAAAGTGTATTCTCTTCTTAGATTGCTGATATCATGTAATGAACTATGAATACATATACTATTTTTTCTGATCCATGATATACTGTATAATCTCTCACACAATACACTAATATAGCATTTCTAAATCAATATTAAATGATTGCTGATTGTAGATGCAGTCTTCAGTAATGTTGTTATAAATTATATTATGAAATGCATTTATAATAAATTCTTAACATGGTGGTAATACAAGTACATTATAACACATATCATAGATCCACTATGGCTAAAAATATCCACACTGCCTATTTAATGCAGTTATAAAGAATGCTATCAAAGTAAGCTATAATTAAATAAATAATAATAAAGTATTTATAAAGGTAACTTTAGCAAAGTGTAACCAATAAAATCTTTACTAACACTTTCAGCAATTTATTTGCTCTAACGAGAATCATCCAACCCAAAGCATGCGAAGTTACAGTACCTGAGGGTATTATATATACAGTAACTATTAGACCATACATTGTAGTTTACTTCCATTGTTTGCTAGGAATAAAATTAGGCTGTCTAGTCTTCTTCTAACTGCTTTTTTATTCACTAAGTCCAGTTGCTAAAGCATTTCAATATTTTTACCTGTATATTACAATCAGAAGAGGTAAAAGTAGTGGGGTTTGGAAGCAGTTCAGCAGTTCTTCCTGCAGCCTCCTTTGTTGTCTGTTGATGTCCAGCATTCCCTTACACAGACAAAACTGAAAGGATGAGCAATGCGCTCTCTTCCTCCCTGACGTGTGGTGCTGGATTTGTCTTGCTGCCAGAATCAGCCAACTTACTGCTGGGTTGGTTTTTGGGGTTTTTTTTTTCCATGCACTATCAAACGTGGAGGGTTGGGGGTGGGGGATGGCGGAGAACAACATCCCAGCCTTATCAGAGTGGCATAAAAACGTCATCTTTCCAAATCAAGAACAGTTTGGAAACACATTAGTGTTGCAGTTCATAACTCAGTGACTCTGTAAAAGAAGGGAAAAGAGCCGGGAAATTAATAGCGACAAATCAGGTAAACGTACCAGAATGTTTTGGCTAAATGCAAGTTAAAATAATAATGGATGTGTGCAAACTAGTCCAGAAGTGCCCCTTTAGGAAAGATCTAACCTAATCCTGTGAAGTGCTGTGCTCTTTCAAACTGCCAGTGAGTTTAGTGGGTCATTCTAGTCAAGGGTGCCAAAGGGAGCAGGCCTGGATTAAGCAGGATTTATTTATAATTATTAATTGTATTGCGGTAGTGCCTAAGGGCCTCAATCGGGGACAGTCCCTGTCCCAAAGAGCTTACAGTCAGCGCCTCATAGGTGCAGAGCTATTGTCTCTCTCTGGCCTGATCTTGTGAGGTGCTGTATGCTTTCATTAATGGGCTGTATAATGCTCTCATCAAAGTCATTGGCAAAACTCCCATTGACATTACTGGAAGCAGGATCAAGCCCAATGCTAGTGGGATTTGAGGGCTCAGAAGCCCACAAGATCTTGTATACAAAAAGATATGTAATATGCAGCAAGAAAGAAAAAGCCACTCATTTTCAGGGCTGAATTTTGAAAATATTAATTTTGGAATAAATTCAGAGTTATCCAGTTATCTTACCTTTCTGCAATATTTACAAAATTTCAAGCAGTATTTGTAACTAGATACCGTAATCCAAGATCCCAGTGCTTAAGTGTGGCCAATAAATAATAACACATTCCCTTTGTTATGACAATATCTTCTTCTCCTCTCCCATCACATGTCATTCTTTCTCACAGGGAGAAAATATTGTTTCTTTCTCTTTTTAAATCTCCTGTCCAACATGACTGAGATTCTTCTACCGTCCTTAGCTAGTTTGTGAAATGCAGGTTCGGCTCTTACTATATATCAGCATGATGCAAGGATGAGACTCACATTGGTTTAAAAAACATAATTTAAACAGGGTAATTTGGGAATAACTGCAACCACTGGTTGGGTGGCAGGGAGGTATAAAGGAGTATGTCCACACTGGCATTTTAATATCCTGGGTGGAACTTCAGGAGTCAAGTGTTCTCACCCCCTGACTTTCCCCTTCAACACACACACATCTTTTTCATGTGGTTACACCTGTGACTTTGGGTGGGGAACAGAGGCAAGTGCTTGGAATCTACAAATAGCGGTGCTGATACCGCAATTGGATCCACATTGTTGCAGGCAGACTCCCGTTTCTGTGTAGAGTTCCACTGAAATCAATTAGACTTGCATAGGTCTGCCTACATAGATCTGATTGCAAAATCAGGGCCAGTGCTAGTGTTCTATCAGGAAGTGCCATGTCAAATGAAGCGATTGGTTGATTTAAAATATATTAGAAACAGACCCATTTAGATGTATCCATTCGGGCCGTGCTTTTTTCCAGGGATTTTCTCAAAGTCCTTAAGCCCAAACAACCCCCAGAACTACCACACCTCAAAAGTGTTCCCAGGTAGGCGTTATCTTCGGGAATCCAAAAATATGTGTATTGTTGCCAGTCATCGACATTCCATTGGCAAATGTCTCCCCCATAACCTGTAAGGATTCTGTTTGTCAAAAAAAGTTAAATAAATTGGGGCATGTATTCTATAACAGAAGAAAGAAAAGAGTCTCCTCTGATCTTTGCTATAGGATCCCTTTCAAAATAATAGTGCAATATACGTAGGACACAAAACTGACGTTATGGTTTCATATGTAGCAAAAGAAGGAACCTCCAAAGTGGTTCAGAAGAAGGTCAGAAGAATTTCCTGGTCAAAGTGGTCTCCATTGCTGACTTTCAATGAATGGTCCTAGTATGTTTTCTATCCAGGAACATTAACTGAAAACTTTTATTATCCTGGTCAACTAGTTTTCAACTGAGACATGTTCCTGTGTGCTATTTTTGGCATCAATTAATTATTTTGGATGAATGCATCAATATTTTTATTTCCTAATCAGTCTTAAAATAGTTAGAGGAAAGGCCGGCTATCATGCATTCTCAACAGTGTTACTCTGAAGAGGAGAAAAAAATAACGTTATGCAAGAAGGTAGTTAATATATTGAGTAAACTTGTTTCTATTAAAACGGTAATTGAATTTTTAAAGCCATGGCCCATTTTAAGCAACCGAACTTTAGTTTATGGGTTGATAATTCATTTCATTTTTATTTTATAGGTTTTATTTTATAGCTATTAAATGGCTATGGGCCATCACTTGTTCCTTTTCTTCCAGATTATGAAATAGGGCATTTATATGGAGGATAAAAAATAATCATCATGCCAAAATAGATATGATATCAATCTGTTGCCAGATAAATGTACTGCATCAAATGCTTGTTGAAATTTAGGCATATAAAAGAGTTTATTTTTCTGGTCTCTTCAACTAGGAATGCTTTCAAGGACTTCATAGAAAAGGATCCTTTAATAGATTGTAGTATCCATCAAATCCAGAGAAAAAATTCATCTCAATCCCAGTCCTAGCAAATCTCCAAACTGTCAGGACTGCTTCACATGCTTAGTGTTAGGTCAAGAGTCCAGGACCATGTTCAGTCTCGGAATCTAAGTGAGGAATAAAGGTCTAAGAGTCCTAGGTGTATCCAGATGGCAAAGAGGTCAACATTATATTTCTGTGTCTTAAGTGACTTTTATCTGAATATATGAAGTATATCCCTAGTGGTTTCATTTCCGAGAGAGGTCTTGTAAATGATGACATTTGCATCAACAGCCACATGAAATGTCCAAAGCACAGCATTCGGTCAAGCAGTTATATTTCTCTTGTGCCTTATACTGACAGCATGTAGCAAGCTCAGTGTGTGCTGGCAAGCGGTGCTTTGTAGCTTTGGAAAATCCCATGCTACAGTAAATTTGCATGAGAAGTTCCATTCCTCTGCTACCTTTTTTCCATGATCATTTCCAATAATAATGTATAATGTGTCCTGTCAGAGTTAAGGACTCTCTTCTTAATCACACTTCTGTAGGTAGAATATTAAATTGTGGGCATATAAAAATGTACAGCCAAATTATCCTGGTGACTTCATGTACCGTGTGTGATCTTTTCAGCCACGCCGTCCAGTCTTGTGAATGTTTCAAATGCAAAATAGCTTGTTTGTATGGACCTCCGCAAATTTGAGATATCAAACAAATGTTCTATATATTGCAACCACTCTAAGCAGTACAAAGAAAATAAGGACTTTGCAGAACTTCAGAAAGCTAATGAGAAGCAATCTTCTATACAGTAGAGTTTTGCAGAAACTCTGTGTACCACATTGAGAGCTGTGGAACTTTGTTTTACTTTGTTACTCACTGGCATAGCAGACTGGCGACGCGTGGTACTGTGTTTAAAGAGGGGGAAATGGGGCATAGACATTTGTAGGGGTTTGCAGTAGAAGTTTAGCCAGAGGTTACTAATGTCATAGAGGAAGCAGAGGAGAAAAATACCCCAAATGCTCCCATATTTCCACTGTAAAATTAAAAAGAAAAATACCAATTTCTACATGAACAGCTTGTTTACAGCAAGCTGGGATGTAAATCAACCCCGCACTAGCCTGCCGTGCACTAAGTGTCCACGTGACACGCACTATCCGCTCCTTAGTGCACTTTGATCTGCTCCCATTTGAAGGTGGGTCATTATAACAGAGAACTGTTAGTGCATGTCAATAGGGTCCACATGGGCAGTTAGCGTGTAGCAGGTTAGTATGGGGTAGAGTCACACCCCAGCCTGATGCAAACTAAGTGTTTGTGTCCCAAGGGGCAACAGCAACTATGAGAGCAGGTCTTTTCAAGTGCTAAGCCTTGTTTTCTTTGCCGCCAAGTTCTTTTCTCCTTTATTACTTATCATTTGAACCACAGTAGTACTTAGAGGACCAACTGAGATCAGGGCCCAACTGTGCTGGGTGTTGTAGTTACACAAGAGAGAGCTCCCTCTCCCAACCCATGTGCAACCTGTATAGATGACAGACAAAGG